GGGAGGAGCATGTGTGAGTAACTGATGCATAATGGGGAGGAGCATGTGTGAGTAACTGATGCATAATGGGGAGGAGCATGTGTGAGTAACTGATGTTCTTTCTTTTGACTTGCCGGTGGAATAGGAACAGCACTGATGCTCCCTAGAATGGAAAGGAGCCACGGCCGTAAGGTTCTGCTTGTTAATCCACTAGTACCTCCGCCAGTGTTGGGAAAATAGGGAAAAGTGGCCGTTTTCCCAAACTCCTAAAATTTCGGAGGCCAGGCCCGACGACAGCTGCCATTGATAAATCTGATCAGCGGCCGTCGTTTCGTTTCGGCCTCCGAAAAGGTCGGAGGCCCAGCCAAGGCCCGCTATTTTCCCACGCGGCAAAGGTAGTAGTGGTTCAAAAAAAAAAAAAAAAAAAGAATGTGGAAGAGTTGCGAAAGGGTGAAGCGGTTCAGAGTTAGGACTGCTCAAGACTTTAGGTCTTGGTGCAGCAAGAGTCAGAAATCGGCAGCGGTAGCGGCCGGGATGCATCATACTTACTGCAATGCGACTGAGAGTTGTTCCAGAGCTGTAGAACGGGTCTGCAGTGGACACCCGGAGTTGTGGTGACAACCAACGGAACGTCTGATCCTTGCACGCATAGCATGCACCGTGCGCTGCTGAACACGTGGCTTTCACGATTGTTCGAGCATCTCCTCTGATTGGTTGAGCTCCAGCTGGGGCTGGAGTATTGTTTTGTTGTCACCCAGTGTTCAGAGAGTGGATTCCATAATGGGTGTGACAGGAAGGGGCCCAGCAAGGGAGACGGGACATAAGCAATGAGGGTGCAGCAGATGCAAGCAGTGTGGGAAGTCCACATAGTAGAGACCTTGTGAAAACAGTCAAACAAATTAAAACAGATAGCATGCTGCTCACATGCCAGAAAATGGAGGACAGGCGTTGGCAGTCATTCATACAATGCATCTCAAGACTACAATGACATAATGGACAGCTAAATCGTGGATGAACTTCAGATGAAGTATGTTAATACGTCATGCAGAGTCGCAGACACATAGCAGTCTGCAAACAAAGGCTGGCAGTGATCATCCCTTCAAGTGATCAAAGCAAAATGGTTTGTTGTGCACATCCTAACCGAATTGTAACTACATGCATGTGTTTGTGTGTGTGTGTGTGTGTGCATATGTGGAGGTGGG